CCATTATTTAAATATTTATTATTGGGCCCTGCGCGGTCATATTTTATTAATTACATGTATATTGTAAACGCCCAACATATATAAGGGCCCATTAGACGCCAAAGCCTACTAGATGTAAAAGCCCGATATATATAAGTGTGAATGGGCTTAAAGGCGGTGGCTTTTATTTTTCTTTCTTCCCCTTATCCGGAAAGCAGAGGCGGCACATATAGGGGCCCAGATGAGATTTTTCATGAATCTGATGATAGAGGCACCGCCTCAAAGTTTTTCTCTCCATCAAAAACATATAGAGAGCCTTTTCAGTAATCTTTTCTTGCTTTTATTCTACACAAAAATCACACCAAAAAATCACTAAAAATTCATATGAATCCTACACCGATTATTCACGGAATAGGGGTGTACATTTTATGTTGTTACAAAATCGCATAACAACAACACTTTTGTACGTTTTTTTATATATAAAACCTCTATCGTTTTAGAAAAAAAATTGTTAAACATGGTGTTAGATAAATTAGATATGCTGAATCGAAATCCAACGAAAATACACCTTATAGACGTCGTTTACTTTACGGGGTTGGGACTAGATAATGAAAACCGTCACCCCTCGTACAGTACTTACTCTCCTGGATTGGGTGGGATTGATCCCACTTGGTGCACATGGGGAACGCGGGCTCCACTGCTTATCAAATATTGGACGATTAAATTAGTTTTGCCCCCATTTGAGATTTTTTTTTTTATCCCAATCTTTCCTTTACATATTTGCGTGCCCCACCGTTTCAGACAATTCCATCATAAAAAGTAAACGTGGGACAAATTGCTGACGTGTAAAATATTTTTAAGGCTGTGTTTGGTAAAAGTAGTTGATAAGCTAGCTGATAGCTGATAGCTGATAGTTGATAGCTGATAAGCTGCTACCTTATAGCTTATCAGTAATTTTCGATCTTTTAGCTTATGATTTATAGTTGAAAAGCTAGCTTATATGATAAAAGTATTTGGTAAAATTAGCTGATTAGCTAGGTGGAATAAAAAATTCAACTAGCTTATTGAAAAGTTACCTAAAGAAGCTTATCAAATAAGCTCGAGTTTTTTTTAAAAAATCTCGTCTTGCCAAACGAGGGTTATTTGAATACAGAGAGCTTATAAACTAACCAAATAAGCTAGCTTATTTGTCTACCAAACATAGTCTAATTTGTCTACTCCCATCACACAAAGTAAGCAACCCCATAATAAATTATTACCTGACAACCTATTTTACAACCAAACTGTGCTATATAGACATGTATAAATCAATGTTATATTATTATCGAAAAATGCTATAAGTACATAATAAATGTACATACAAGTGTACATAACACTCACATGGAGTGAAGTCCACTTACAATATTACGTACTTATAGCATTGCTCGTTGTTATCAAACATATCTAGGAAACCAACCCAACCGACCCCAAAGATATATATATAAATCTATATATATATTAAAGCAAAGCAGCTCAAAATTTCCCCCAAAAAACTACATTTAATACATTGTAATAACTTTTATCAATTTCTATGCATGATTTATCAACAAAAAAATATTTATGTCATAAAAACAATTAATTTATATTTTAAATGTATTGGAATTTGCATTCCAATTTTTCTTGACTAAATAAATGCTTTAACTCCATCTATTACCATGAAATAAATTTTGTTAATTTTTATGTATTATTTATCATTCAAACAATAACATAAATACTTACAAGTAAGTACTTATCTTAGTCATAATCAATTATTATACAAATCCCAATTATATATATTTTTTTATAATCAATTATTGTTACAAATAATGTTTAATATTATACATAATTATTTATTATGGACTCCCATCTCAATATCTCACTTATTATTTGTCTCACTTACAGTTTGTGAGTATGAGTTCCTTTCCTTTTATAATAATTTTTATAATAATAAATTATCAATCTTATTTAATTAATCACTAAAATAAAATTTCAAGTCAAATATTTTATTTAGTTATTATTTTTATTGGAACATCAAACACAATATTATGTTTTCGGTTACTAATATGATATCTATATGTAACATATGTTTTCATAAAAATATTTAATAGTAGCACCATACCACATTTGAAACATATACTCTATATTGATGGAATTTACATACACATTAAGAAAATATGTAATCATCTCTTATTAATCTAATATTGTATAATTTTATATCTTTATATAATTCTAAGAAATTACAAGTGATCATTAATTTATTTGTATTGAGTACATCATTCCAAAACAAGTAATTTAAATTGTAAAATATCTAATCATTCACAAAATCTTATGTGAGCTGAAGTAAGAGTTAGTCAAGACAACGTGTCATTCTTTTTTAACAAAAACGTGAACTTAGACCTCCAATTTTCACACTTTGTTTATGTTATTTTATTATATATTTTTTAAATAATAAATAAAATAAAGATAGAGTGAAATAAAAAATAATGATGTTATATTTATAATATATAACATAATTTATTCGACTAAAAGGGATGTATTTTTCAAGAAAAAATATCATATCCATGTGAAATAAATTTAAAAAATGTTGAATAACCTTAACTTGAGTAAAAAAAAATAAAAAATGGTAACATAAAGAGTGAGGGGTCTCAACAACAACAAGAGAGTTAAAATAAGTATTTATATAGTTTTGACTCAGAAGACAAAAATGATCATATTGATTGAATATATATGATAACCTTTTGTTTTATTTATTTCATTTGATCTTAAATTTGAGGTTACATAAAAGTTGGTGAAAAGTGACAACGCTTAATTTTTATAATAAATACACAATTCTACAGCTTAATGTTTATAATAAATACACAATTATACAGCTAAAAAATTTATAATAAAAGTAGCATAATGTGTCAATTATTGTTTAACTTTTGTTTATAAACAAATCTTTTTTTTTAAATGAGAGATTGATGAGAGTATATTATTGCAACTGAATGTTGTAGCGATAAAGTTAAATACAACTTATTATAATGAATCCACTCCTTTTTCCTTATCATAT